GCAGTCTCCCCCGTGGCCCATCCATGACTGTGTTTTGAAAATGTCTGGGATACTACGGGACCTGAAGCGTTGGATAAGCTGTGTGACCGTGTTCCAGAGTGGTGGCGGGTAGACTTGCCTCTGTCCGAGCGGAGGAAGACCGGTAATGTAGCATAAAAGCTGTGGGCTTGCCAAGCCACGCCCCCCCATCCAGTTATATTTTGTGTTCTTGAAAAGAATCCTGGCCTTTTTAAAAACTATTTACTGAACTGGCCAGAACCAGCTCTTGAAGAAGTCTATTCCACATTTTACTGTGAAGAAGCCTTTCTATATTTGGAGGTTAAATCTCTTTTCCCACAGACATAAAAAGTGCCCCCTTGTCCTCTGTGTTGGATAACATGTTCACTATATGGAACACTTATCTATTTATACATGTTGATCATAGCCCCCTTAATCTTCTCTTTTAAAGAGGGAATAAATTCAGTTCAGCTAGCCTTTTCTCATAGCTGAGCTCTTCCATGCCTCTTATTAGTTTGATTGCTCTTCTATGCACCTTCTCCAGTGTCCCAATGTCCTTTTTTGTTAACTGGTGCCAAAAATTGAACTGCATGTTCTACAGTTGTGTCCAAAATTATTCAACCCCCACTGAAATTGAGTGTTTTGGCCAGTTTGACATTGCTTTTGATCATTCAGTCATCTTGCTTACATTTACATTAAAGAGGCACTTGTAGGTCAGACAAATATAACATAACAGTTATAATGAAATAACCACAAATGTCTTTTCTGTGCTCACAGCATTATCAGTTTTATTCAACCCCCAAGTGACATTCAATCTTAGTACTTAGTACAGCATCCTTTTACAGTTATAACAGCTTTTAAACGTGAAGCATAGCTTGACACAAGTGTCTTGCAGCGATCTACGGGTATCTTCGCCCATTCTTCATGGGCAAAGGCCTCCAGTTCAGTCACATTCTTAGGCTTGCGCACTGCAACTGCTTTCTTTAAGTCCCACCAGAGGTTCTCAATCGGATTTAAGTCTGGTGACTGCGATGGCCACTCCAAAATGTTCCAGCCTTTCCTCTGCAACCATGCTCTAGTGGACTTGGAGGTATGCTTGGGATCATTGTCCTGTTGAAAGGTCCAACGTCTCCCAAGCCTCAGGTGTGTGACGGACTGCATCACGTTTCCATCCAATATCTCCTGGTACTGAAGAGAATTCATGGTACCTTGCACACGCTGAAGCTTCCCTGTACCTGCAGAAGCAAAACAGCCCCAAAGCATGATTGACCCTCCACATGCTTCACAGTAGGCAAGGTGTTCTTTTCATCATAGGCCTTGTTCTTCCTCCTCCAAACATAGCGTTGATCCATGGGCCCAAACAGTTCTAATTTTGTTTCATCAGTCCACAGAACACTATCCCACAACTTTTGTGGTTTGTCCACATGGCTTTTGGCATACTGCAGTCGACTCTTCTTATTCTTTGGAGACAGCAAGGGGGTACGCCTGGGAGTTCTGGCACGGAGGCCTTCATTACGCAGTGTGCGTCTTATTGTCTGGGCTCAAACTTCTGTACCCACATCTGACAAATCTTTTTCTCAGTTCCTCAGCAGTCACAGTCACGGGGACTTCTCTCCACTCTACGCTTCAGGTAGCGCACAGCAGTCGAAGTCAGCATCTTCTTTCTGCCACGACCAGGTAGCGTTTCAACAGTGCCCTTTGCCTTGAATTTGCGAATGATGCTTCCTAAGGTGTCTCTTGGTATGTTTAACATCTTTGCAATCTTCTTTTATAGCCATTGCCCTTCCTGTGAAGAGAAATCACCTCTTCTCTTGTCTTCCTGGACCATTCTCTTGCCTTCACCATGTTTGTAACCACACCAGTAAATGTCTAGAAGGAGCTGAGTATCACAGTCATTTTAAAGCTGCCTAATTGGTGCTTATTATGCTTGATTGCTGCTCGGTGACATCCACAGGTGTTTTTTTCAATACCTGATGGAAAGCACCTGTATGAACCTCTGTTCTTCAGTGAGTGGTAGTCTTTAAGGGGTTGAATAATTGTGGCAATGAAGAAACCACATAAGCCATTTACTACTGTATTACATAAACAATTGATGTCATTTTAGTTGCATTGGGTAGTTACAACGTCCTTGTAGGATTTGATTCTGAATACAATTCCAAATGTACACTATAGTCCCTAAACCCCTTTACAGCATTGGGGGTTGAATAATTTTGGACACAACTGTAGATGAGGTGTGGAATATGAGGTTTAATGATTTGTACAGGGGCAAAATGATATCTCTCCCCCTCTGGGGTCTATACCTCCACAATAAAGAAAGTATTTTGCTTGCTTTGGAAACCGTAGCTTGGCATTGCATGGTATTATTAAGCCTGTGATCTACCAGAACTCCCAGATCCTTCTCCAACATTAATTCCCCCAGTTGTACTCTTCTCAGTATGTATGATGCGTGCATATTTTTAGCCACCAAGTGCATAACTTTACATTTAACAATATTAAACCTCATTTGCCACTTATTTGCCCAATTAAACAGTGCTTTGAGGTCAGCTTCTAAGCACATCCTGTAATGACACAATTCCACTGCAGAGCTTGGTGTCACATGCAAAGACTGAAACTGTACTTTTAATCCCAGAGTCTATTTAATTTACAAATAAATTAAAATGAAAGGGTCTCAACACTGAACCTTGGGGTACACCACTAATAACCTGCGACCATTCAGACTATGAATCATCAACTACTACTCTCTGATCGGTCTTTAAGACTAGGCTTACACCTATGCAGGTTGTGGTTGATACATTTTCATGTGCGTTTTGTGGTTTGGTTTGCATTTTTCACACATTTTTTATGCATTTTTAATGCTTTTTTCATTTTACATTTTTGGGATTTGTTATTATTGCTAAGGGAAGGTGTCTGTTGTCATGCAGGAAACACCAAAAAACACACACATAGATGAGTTTTTCAAGCATTTCCTTTGAAGTCTCTGGAACCAAAAACAGAATCTGCTGCAGGCAAAAAATGTCCCTGATCCTTTCCAAAAAGATCGCTACGTGAAAATGCAGTGCAAACTGCATAGTTATGGATTAAGCTTTAGCTACTTTCTGTCCATTTACAAACTGACTTTTTCCAAGCCTGTAGACTATACTTTACACATGAGCTGTTTGTGGGGAACTGCGTCAAACGCTTTTACAAATATCCAAATATACTATATTTGACAGATCAAAGAAATGTCTATCTTGACCTCCTCTATATTTGTGTTCAAGATTGTTTGACATATGGACATGGCATCCAGTGCCTTGTCAGGTTCTGCAATATTTATCAAGTTCAAAGCTCATTTGGGAGGAAACATCATGAGTAGATAAAGCAATGTGTTTTGAGCTTGTGGAAAAGGCAGGATAATGGGTAAGAGGCAATGGCAGGATGTGATAAAGGATGGGGTGCTCAAAGTCAATATTCACTTGTTGCTAACCATCTGTTCTTGGTGCTAACTTTTGTTTGCAACACATTACTGTATTGTTTGAAAGAAAAAGGAAAAAGAACATTTTTTTTAAAGAAATGGAATTTTTCAAATACATGATGGAAGTGGGTGTTATACTCCACGGACATAGATGCTGACTGAAGGAGTCCCAGAGTTTACTGCAGTATCTCATGGATAAAGTGACTCTTTTCTGGCTCTAAAAATTAGCAAAATTACAAAGCCTGGGCTGCATACCTGCACTCATCGTTCCTCAACAGCCTCCAGACATATCCCTGCTCTTTTCAAACAACAATCTTCTTCCAGGAACAGTGGGGTAGCAGACAAGATGGCATTGCCCCGCTGGGATGAAGATTATGATGAAGAGTCAATGCCGCCATTTGAGGACTTGGTAAGAGACTCCATACAGCCAGACTACCCACTGATCTATGTTGATATGACTGAAATAGCTGCAGATATTAAAAACACCTTTTCTGCAGCTATCACTGATTTAAAAGCAGATATATTAGAGCTCACTGAGAAAACTGCAGCTGCAGAGAGAGCGGGTAGGAAAAGAGGGAGGGCTATCACAAGGCTGGAAAATGTCACATCAACACATTCACAATCTTTAACAGCTTATTGGAGAGGCTCACAGATTCACCAATTGAATTTGATCAAGCTCACAGACCTAGAGCTCAAGAGACAGACCCTCAAAGAGGTATTATCTGTTGCCTTACTTATTTTTGGCTAAAAGAAGATATTCTCATGAAAGCTAGACAAAACAAATTCATCACTTTCAATGGCAACACAATCTCTCTGTTCTAGGATTTATCACCCAAGGGATTACCTACAGTTAGAAATTCCCATTGCAAGCTACAGTTAATGGCAAGCAATATATGCTTTGCATCCCAGAGGATCTCCCTAATTTCTGTGAGAGCCTCCAAATTGACTTAATAGATTTTCCTGAATGGTACCAGGAATTCTGCCTTCCTCCCTTCCTCCCTTAACTGGCAACCCATTTTATACTCCCTGATCATCTCCTGCCAAAACACCGCTCAAAAAAGGAAAATCTCACAAAAACCTAGTACATCCAGCATTAACTCCCCCTCACTCAAGTCTCATAGAGTAAGAGACAATTGGTGATCTACATAGAAACTCTCTTCTGGCTTCTTTTGATCTTTAAAATCTCTTGCACTTTCAGTGCTACACATAATTCCACTTTGAGAGTCATTTTACTGACCCTTGAACAAAACCCTTTTTTGTGTAATCCTCCTATCAAAATTTTAATATGAATACCTTCTCTGCCTGATCTTTGAGTCCATGGAATTCCAAATCAATATAAGACAGCCATTATCACTAAACGACCCACTATCTTCACTTATTTAGCTGAATTCTATCATTATATATATATATATATATATATATATATATATATATATATATACACACACACACATCATATTGCCAAAAGTATTGGGACACTCCTACAAATCATTGGATTCAGGTGTTCCAATCACCTCCATGGCCACAGGTGTATAAAATCAAGCACCTAGACATGCAGACTGCTTCTACAAACATTTGTGAAAGAATGGGTCGCTCTCAGGAGCTCAGTGAATTCAAGCATGGTAACATTATAGGTTGCCACCTGTGCAATAAGTCCATCTGTGAAATTTCCTTGCTACTAAATATTCCATGGTCAACTGTTAGTGGTATCATAACAAAGTTGAAGAAACTGGGAACAGCGGCAACTCAGCCACGAAGTGGTAGGCCATGTAAAATAACAGAGCAGGGTCAGCACATGTTGAAGCACACAGTGCGCAGAAGTCACTGTCTGCAGAGTCAATGGCTAAAGCCCTCCAAACTTCATGTGCGTAGATAGCTTCATGAAATGGGTTTCCATGACCGAGCAGCTGCATCCAAGCCTTATATCACCAAGTGCAACGCTTTGTCGGATGCAGTGGCGTAAAGCACACCACCACTGGACTCTAGAGCAGTGGAGAAGTGTTCTCTAGAGTGATGAATCATGCTTCTCTGTCTGGCAATCTGACGGGCGTGTCTGGGTTTGGCGGTTGCCAGGAGAACGGTACTTGCCTGACTGCATTGTGACAGATAACACAGGATAGCTCTTCTGTCGGGCTGCACACACGTGGTTTGATTACCCGCTCCCTATGTCCTCAATCAAACCAATTTTGCAGCCTGACAGAAGAGTGATCCTGTGTTATCTGCCACATGGAGAGGAAGGCACAACCCACACCTGCTCCTGGCTCTGTAGCAGTCCCCCCCTGTAATGTGAGGGGGAAGGGGGGTGAGCTTGTGCTAGGAAGGGGGAGTTGGAGGAGATTTGGGAACATGTGCTAGGAGGAGGAATGAGGGAGGGATGATATGTGCTAGGAGGGAAGTTTGGATAAAATTGAGCCAGAAGGAGGGATTAAGGGGAATTTTTGTGCTGGGAGGTTGTGGTAAGAGGGGGAGATGGGGGGATTTTTACTAGGGGGGGGAACTGGGTAGGAAAGGAGGATTTGTCCTGGGAAAGGTAATTTGTAGGGGGTTGTGCTAGGTGGAGGGTTTGGGGGGGATTTGGGCTAAAAGGAGGGATGGGGGGATGATATGTGCTAGGAGGGGGTTTGGGGAAATTGAGCCAGAAGGGATTGGGAGGAATTGTTGTGCTGGGGGGTTTGTACTAAGGGGGTATTGGGGGGATCTGTGATAGGGGACAGATGGGGGATAATTTGTTCTAGGAGGGGGGATTGGGGGGAGAGGATTTGTGCTGTGATGGGGGATTGGGGAGGGGATTTTGTTCCAGGAGGGGATGGGGGAATTTGGACTAATAGTGGTGACAGGGAAGAGGTTGTGCAATTTGGGGAGATTGGGGGGATTTATGATAGGAGGGGGGGAATTTGAGGGAGATAATTTGTGCTACGATGGGAAATTTGAGAAGAAAGAGAATGTGTGCTAGGAGGGGTGATTTTTGGGGAGTGATTGAGATTTGTGCTAGGATGGGGGAATTGGCGTGGGATTTGAGCTGGAAGGCAGGATTGTAGGGCTAATATTTGTACTGGGAGGATGGATTTGATCCTGGGAGGAGGGCGAATTTTGCATTTTTTTGGGTGAAGGAATTTTAGCTTGCAGATGGAATTTATGCTTAGGGGAAGAGTCTACTAATTAGTGTAGTCTTTTTTTTTTTTTTTCGATGGGGAGGAATTTATGCTGAGACAGGATGTTTACACTTTGGAGGTGCAGTTTGTCATCTACACTCTAGGCGCTAGATGACCTTGTCCCAGCATTGCCTGCGCTACACACAGGGCACTCAACAGATTTCCTCCTCTCCACACAGTACATAACTTAGATCGGATCTCTTACAGACTTAATCTGTATTTAATAAAAGTATTTAAAATGTCTTAAAACAATCATTATGGCACTTTATTCAAACAGATGAGCTAACAGTTTTGCATTGAAAATGAGGTCTTTCCCCTTTTCAATTAAAAAACAGCATGAAGCAGTGACATTCCCTATTACTTCTTTTTTGCTTTAGATTTTTAACCATTGGATAAAACAGTACCATCAAGATAAAAATCCCCCCATCGCAGTGATTAAATTGGAAATACTGAAGTTGAGATTATACTTTGCAAATAATGTATTGCTATTGTTTATATTTCCTGATGTCTACAAGCCAAGATCCTCCCACTTTAAGTGGTTCTAAAAACAAAAGTTTTTTTACCTTAATGCATTATATGCGGATGTAACCAGCGGTGGTGAGGACACCGCTGGACCGAGGGACAGGTAAGGACAGTTTTTGTAGCTGCTGACTTTTATATTTTTTTTTTCAGGTGGAAGTCCTCTTTAAGCATATCAAAGGGTACATTGTTTACATATTTGAGTATGATAAAGAATGTGATTTGACAATACAAGAAATATTTATTGATGGTAATTTGACTTGACTTGGTGGTATTCTCTGGAAATGGTGAAAGGGTGACTTGTTTACCTGGTAAACACTATAGTGACCTTAATTGTTATTTACAGTAATGACAAGTAAAACCTTTTCATGTTAAGATCAAAAGTGTTTTGTCAGCCATTTAGAATCCCTCCATCTTTGCTTACTGATAGTAAACTGTATATGAAGGAAAGCTTTAGCTGTTCAGGCTAGATTCATTTATTTATTAATATGGATGCACAGGTATAGATCATAACTCGCATTTGTGCATGCATGGAAGCTATCTAGTTGCATATTATAAGTTGGATATAAATGCTGGACGGTGTAGGATCTTTATGCTTGTTATGAAGTATCTTAAATGGGACTCTGAGGGCTGTTGCTTGTTGTAATATTTACAAACATTCTGCTGGATTTTTGTCATCTGTTGCAAGTGTCATTTGGACTGTTCTGGAACCGAAAAAAAAAATGTCTTTCTCTGGATGAATCGAGTTGCTGTGGGAAAGTTAATTTCTTAGATAGAGGAGTTTGACATTGCATATCGGTTAGTGAACTTTTATCTCAACAACAATAATTATAATTATCACTCCTCATCCATGTGATATATGACAACACATACAGTATCACTAACATTAAATTAGAATTAAATCCAGCTTGTTTTTTCTCCATGTAAATTCATATTCATTCAAAAAATATAAAAATTATCTTGTGAGACATTTATTAAATGCTGCAAAATCACTGATTCCATATCAATGGAAATCCACACGTGTCCCAACAATCTAAGACTGGTTAGCATAGATAGATACTAGTTATTACATGGGAGAAACTTTAGCTATGCAAAAAGAAACAACTACACTCTTACATAAAATGTGGAGAGCCTGGAATATCTTCTCTCTTTCTGAAGAGTATAAAAGAACTCACAGGTCCATGACCTACTTAAACACTAGAACACAATTTATAATACATAATGGTGATAATCATCAGCATTATATAATACAGGTAATTTTCTATATATACACTTATATCTTTTTTCTTTTCCCATCTTAATGCTATGGAAACAATCACAAATAGCTTTTGATATACTTACTTTAGGGAGGCCATACTTTATGATAACATCTAAAATGTTGTATTAGCCTTATTTAGCTCACAATTATCTTATTCATATTTTTGTTATTATTATGTTTTTTTCTTTTGTCAGTTTTTCTTTTCACCACCTATAACAATATGCTGTTCATTGAAAACATTATACCTTTATATATAATGTTTTTATACCCCAAACTAACTGTATTGATACTTATCATTATCTTTCATATAAATATATATATATATGTTATACATACTGTATGCCGATTTGTACTAAACCTTTAACTAAATAAATCTTATTGTGAAAAAATAAAAAGCTATATAGCTTTTAAATATTGTGATCAAACTTTATGCAAAATGTTCTCTGGTGGAGAGCATTCTTACGTCTAAAAGAAGTTCAAGCCAGTTACTCAAAAGGCCATCTGGTTTCTGAAGGCACTCATAGATTCATTAACTTAATTCAGTTGTCAGGTTGAGTACCTTCTTTGCTTATCAGGTATTGAAATTATTTGTCCTTGGTATTTAATAAAAGTATTTAAAATGTCTTAAAAACAGTCATTATGGCAGTTTATTCGAACAAATGAGCTAACAGTTTTGCATTGAAAATGAGGTCTTTCTCCTTTTCAATTAAAAACAGCATGAAGCAGGGACATTGCCTATTACTTCTTTTTTGCTTTAGATTATGAACCATTGGATAAAATAGTACCATCGAAGTAAAAATCTTCCAGTGGTTAAACTGGAAATACTGAATTTGAGATTATACTTTGCAAATAATGTATTGCTGTTGTTTATTTTTCCTGATGTTTACAAGCCAAGATCCTCCCACCACTTTAAGCGGTTCTAAAAACAGAAGTTTTTTTTACCTTAATGCATTATATGCATTAGGATAAAAACCTTCCACTGTCTGTGCCTCCTAAACACTTACCTGACGCCACTTTTGATCCAGGACTGTCCTTGTCAGTAACCCCACTCAGCTTCCTTCCTGCATTCACAGGCTTTACTGAAAGTAGAAGGAGCAATTGGTTCATACTGCTGTGAGTTAAATCCAGTGAGGAGAGAGCAGAGGGTAGGACCAAGCCACACTGTGTGTGTTTATGGATGCACGCAACCTTGTTCAGAAGTGGGCTAGCACAATATCCCCCATAGCAAACAGCTTTCTATGATGGCACTCAGAGAAGCCTAGAGTACTAGCAGGGGACCCCAGAAGAGGAATTTTGGAACAACATACTGAGCAAGTAAGTATAACATGTTTGTTATTTTAATTTTAATTTTAAAGAATAGCTTTACAAAAACTTTAAAGTATTAAAACTGAAAACTGAAAATGTTGAATAATTTGGACTTTATTCAAGTCAAACCAGGACTTTTAATTTTACAGGTATAAAAAGGGATGCTAGCGTGGCAGTACTACATGCAGTAGTAAGTGGCAAGTGTGTCCTATTACTGATAGGCAGCTCACGTGCCACTGGCCAGTCCAGAGACCATAAATCAAGATGGCAGACAACAGTGTTAGTGCGTGCATGGTACAGCGTGTGATGATTAATTTTCTTGTGAACGAAGGCTTAAAACCTGCAGTTATCTACAGAAGACTTCAAACATAGTATGGTGATGAGACGCTCAGCCGCAGTAAGGCATTTGAACGGTGTAAATGTTTCAAAGATGGCCATATGTTCTTCAGTGATGATTCCAGGCATGGTGGTTCCCAGCTTTCAGCAATCATTCCTGTGAACATTCAGCTTGTGGAACGCCTGATCCTGGATAATCAATGCAAAACCTGTTGTGAAACTGTGAAAAAAAAAAGAGATGAATCTTTCTGTGGAAACGGTGAACATAAATGTTGATGAGGTAAAGCAGGCTGTTCTAGGATGGTTC